ACCTGGGCAGTATCTGGGTTTGACCTGTAGATAATTTATATAATTAGTTATCAAGAATATAATTATGTATTTGGTCTAATAATACATTATCTCATAGATTTTGGTGCTTTTTGGTTTTAGTGAAGTTATATTTTACCTTGTAAATAAATTGAAAATGACTGGTTTCTCAGTAGCCCTATTAGAAGGATCATCAGCTCCTTTTAAATTGATCAGATACAAATTTCCTCGACTGTCAGGGAAATACATAGTATCCTTACTTTCATAGGAAAATTCATTTTTGCTTAGAGGATTGCCAAATCCTGAAAAATTCACACCAATATTAACATGTTAAATAAATTTGAAATATGAGTTTAGCGTAAGATTATTTAGTTCTATTACCTCCAGCAATTAAAACGGCTGACAATACTACAAATTTGAACATTTCTGTATTTTAAACACTCAACTGATTTGTCCAGAAATAAAAATCGCTCTTTTTATATCATTTCGTTTATTGCAGGCGCCTATTATCAATTATAATGATTTATTGCAGTTTGATAATTATCTATTTCTTGTTGTAGCTTACTTTTTATTGCATTCTATATCTATATCATACGTCATAATATTTATGATGATAATAAAATATATAATTCCTTCTTCAGTATAGAAAATCGAGTTTTTATATTATCAATTTTTAATTTGATTCAAAAGGTAATAATTGATGTAGTCTGAAATAATCCTTTAAAACGTAATAAATCGATATCATTTAAAGTATTCTTGGATTAGTTTAATGTTTTTATTATACTGTTATTGGTTATACTAAAATCATTTTGTTTTCATCTTTTGCAATAAATCATTGTTAATTTTAAGTACAATATTGTTTACTTAGCGATATCTGTGAGAACAATATTTTTAATTCTTGCATCATAACAAAATCATAGAAGCTTTTTATTTTTTAATTTTTATTGCTTTTTTAATTTATTTTATATTTTATGCCATTCTATTAATATTTCACTTATTAAGTTCACGATTATAAAGTAATTGTGTTCAAAATGGAAGGTTCTGCGTAAGTAACTGTAACAAAGTGAAATAATTCAAGAATTTAATACTTGAATAAAATTGCATATTTTTTCTAAAACTAAAACATTTCTCAAATTACGCATTAAAGATTTTAAATTAGTTTGAGATATTCATTGCTTTCTTCTTGAAGTACGTAGATTGTGCAGTTCTGTAATTTTGAATCTACTATCTTAAATCTTTGAATTTAAAATTATTAATCACTAATTACTAAATTTAGTAAGCATTAGATCACATCGTAATCTAATATTGTCTAGGCGTTAGATACAAAAAATTGTCGATCTGTTTCTTATAACAATCAAAATCTCACTAATTTTGTCATTACCGACAAAATGGAAAAACTAAACCTAGTACCCACAGAAAACTTCTAGAGCCCACAGAAAATGTAACCAGGAAAATTAATTTAGCATATTTCCAATTTAAAAATTGATTCAAATTTTTTCTATGTACCGTTATCAAAATGTAAATCGGATTACACATGTTAAGTACAAGCATTTAGGGTGTACATGTATTTAGTTAGTATACTGTTCCATCTGAGCAGAAATAGGGGCTACATATCAATCAACTTTCAAAAAGTGTACCTTGTTCAAAATGTAACTATTGTATTCGCAAATGGGTTACTTGCGGAGGGATGGCCGATTTTAAAAATATTTGAACTTTGTAAGCCGAATTTAAAATACCGTGTTTAAATTCGCATTATCAACAACAATAAACTACAGCTTTGCTGTTAAAAAATATGTTATAACATTTTAAGACTAAAAGTATCTTTAGTTTTTTATCCCGGTGACTTAATTTTTTTATTTATGATAAATATTCAACAACAAACAACTAAATCTTTGCTATTAAAAAAAATAATAATATTTGAACTAAATAGTTGTTTATCTCGGTGACTTTAAATTGGTCTTATATTTTTTTATTCATGTTTAATTTTGACCAATTAACTATGTCTTTGTTATCAAAAACTATATATTTTATTCATTGTAGAAATGTGCTTCATTGCTGTTTCTCAAAAGTTTGTAATCTGGTCCTTTTTACCCCATAGTAAATTGAGACGGCCAGAGTACAAACAGGTCTAATATCTTATTTCAATTTTTAATAGAGTTTACAAAATAATAGCTACAGTATTCAACCAATACAAAATTATAATTTTTATGTACATTTTAGGTTCATCTTTTGCACAGTCAACACTCTGTAAATAACCTTGATCTGTATTTCGTCAAAAATATTTTGGAATATTATTAATATCCAGAGTTGGAATAACTATTTATTGAAATTCTCGCTTTTTTTACCTAGTTTACTTTTTTATTTGCTGTTTTTTACTTTTTACACTTTATTATTTTTAAACCCAAAGTATCTTTAGTTGTTCAACTCAATGACTTTGAACTACATTTATTTTTTATTCCGTTAATAATGTATAAATAAACTATTATTTATACATCAGTTTTAAAAATAATTTTACATGTTTGAATATTTTGGTATCAATTTTTTTGACTTAATCGAATTAATTGGATCATTATCACAATTTTTATCAATTCAAATGCGAGTATCCCTTACAATTAGCTTAAGATATCTAAGTACTCAAAAAATTCTAGAAATCTAAAAAAATATAGAAATTAAATATTTATAGCTTTACTTAAGAAAGCTATTTTTTATTTTTTAAATATTTTTTTTTTGTTACTGTAGTTATGAAAAAATTAAAGTTACTGGATCTATTATAAATCTACACTAGTTGTGAAATATATTATTACCATATTAACAAAAATATAAATTTATGTAAGAAAGATTATAATTCTATAATAAATCTAATCGTTTCCCAGTTTATTTTGAAGTCAAATGCCCAAATTGAAATTCTTGCTTTAGATATCTAAGTACCTGAAAAATCGCTATATTATATATAAATGTAAATAATATTATAAAATATATAGAAATTAAATTTTTATGGCTTCATAGTAAAAGTTCCAACATTTTAAGAATTATTTTTTTTATTCTATTATAAATTTACGCTAATTATGAATCGTTATTATACATATATATATATATATATATATATATATATATATACGATATTTAGTAGGCATACATACAAATATATATTAGTTCTGAATTTGAAGTTTACTTACGTTTTACCAGAGACTAGTAATGGGACAGAAAATAATAATTTTATAATTAATCTAACCGAGCCGCAGTTAATTATTGATTCTAATCATAAAATTGAATAACCCATATGTATGGCTCATTGAATAAGACTGCCACTACCGAGAAGAGAACAAATAAAATATAAGCCATAAAAAATGCAATAAATCTTTAGTATTTACACAGCGGATAGGGGTGAATCATTTTACGTTTCCGAAAGTCAACCCCTTTCCCATTTATGAAAACCCGTCATTCGTTTCGACCTAAAAAATTAATGTTATGAAAAAATGTCGATATATTGAAACTCTTTGTGCATTTTCGAATAAAACATATACACGCTTATTTTCCACGTATTTTACCGATAAATCAACGATTTGCGAAACATTATTTGGCAAATCGAATCAACGATCGCATTTGCAGAATCAGGGCCAAAAATCGGAAGAGTTGTGCAAACAGATGGTGTCATGTATGGCTCATTTTCAACGGGTTAAGAAAAATTACATAAAATTATATATCGAGCGAAAGTAATAAAACATATAGATCAACGTGTTATGTTTAATGGCCATATAGTATAGAAAATTGGAAAAATACTTATTGACAAAAAATGTAGTAAGCGTATTCATTCTTATGTATCTAAAACTAACGAATCTCATTTTGTTGAATTTGATAGTGTATTTAAATCTGACAAAACTCTTCAATTTAAAGTTCTTTTATTTCTAAATTTACGAACGCAAAAAAATGATTTGGTTTAAATTCGAATAGTTCTGATTACTTTTTTTATTCAAATCTATTTTTCTTTGTCTTTGATCACTTTTGGCCTAGCAATAATAAGTACACGATTTTTTTCTTTTTGAATAGTAATCAGAACTTTATATAAATATATATAAAAATGCAACCATGTACTTGACAATTATCTATCAGAATATTTTTTATTAGATTTTTCATCTCCCACTGATGACATATTATTATATTATATTGTAGAAATGCCCCCGAAAGGATATTTTTACTTACCATATTTTACTTAAATATATGATATCATATTTGCTCGAAGTGGGGCTATTGAACCTGAAAATTCTTACTAGACCACTTTATCTACCTAACTATCAATTATCTACCTGAAGAAATTTTTTATTAGGTTTTTTATCTAATACTGATGAAATATACATTGTAGAAATACCCCCGAAGGACTATTCTCACTTGCTAATTTGACTTAAATATAAATTTTCAAGCAAAGTTATATCATATATGCTTGATAACAAGCTGGCCGAGGTGGGGCTATTGAACTTGAAATTGTATGAGTTGGTCGTAACGGATTGTCAATAGCCTATGTATTGCTGTGGGATCAGGCGTTTTACACATAAAACTTAACATCATGTATATGTTATCAAAAAAGCATCATAAAGTTGCACTTAGGAAAAAATTGGAAAATGGATCGAACACCAAATAGCATTTGGACAGTTTGTGACTAGCAACTCATACATTTCCAGACTAGTAACATGAGACCCTGAGTCTTTTCCTAATTGCACTTGGCATATATAAATTATTCGTTTGCAATTTTAATTACAATAAGATTTATAAAGCTAAAATCGAAATCAAAATATATGTTGTGTGCTCATTTATGCACCCTAGATTTTAGTCGTCGACTAACGTCCACTGACTTCATAGAAACCTTTTATCACCCCCGTGCCGGCGTCCAATCAGATTCTATGAGGGTGACTATGGGCGGTTCCTCCCTCATATCAAATAGTGATCGTTCACTGCATCATAAAATCAGTACGGTAACAATCTTTGATACGAGCAGTGACTAAGTGAAATTTTTATTCTATAACAAAATTGCAAAAAATAACTGAAGTGTCTTGGGGTGTTTTGTTTACGTGATCGATCATTAGATGTTCTGCCAGGGTTCGGTGATATGAGTTGTTACAGCAGTTTCGAGGAGCGATCGTATGAGTTTGATGATGATTGTGAAACGTCTTCGGATAGTGGATTCGAGAAGAGCTATGAATCTATGCAGCTTTATACACCGACTAAGAGTTGCGATGAAGAACGCAAGCGTAAAATATTTGAGACGGAAATTTCCGAACACGCCTTTTCGCAAATGTCCAATGCTGTGACATCTACACCAACAAAATCAGGTGCTGATGGAGAGAAGAAAAAAAGGAAATACCCAACGGGAAGGACTCGTACTCCGAGAGCAAGAAGTCCTTCACACATTTTGCGCTTGAAGAGAAACCGAAGAATGAAAGCAAATGACCGGGAAAGGAATCGTATGCACACGCTGAATGAAGCTTTGGAAAAACTACGTTTAGCTTTGCCGACTTTTCCGGAGGATACAAAACTAACCAAAATTGAAACTTTAAGATTCGCGCACAACTACATATTTGCCTTGAGCCAATCTCTGGAATGTGAAGGTGTGATAGTGGACATGGAAAAACTTCAAAACTTTTCTTTGAGTGGTGAAAAAATCACAAAAGAGTTGTTCCATTTATTCTTAAGGCACGAACCAGACTCATACGGAAGGTACAACCATCAACCTATGTACCCTAACCAGCATATGCCCGTTATGAGCAATTACGAAGATCCAAGATACTCCTGGAATATGATAGGAAACACAGATAAAACATCCTCATGTGCATACAATCAAGGAGTTAGTCACATCCCTCAAGAACAAAGTTTAAACTACAGAAATCCAGAATTTCAACAGAATTACAATTTATTTAGAAATGCTTTTGAAACAGCAAGAAACAGTGGTCAAACAACGCAAAGTGTCGTGCCGTACCAACCACAACAAAACATAAGTTTCGATGAATCCAGTTTACATCAAGATAGCAGTTTTTACCAAAATAGTCCACCAGTTATAAATCACCATAGTTCAGAAGCTTACGGCTTACACACGGGGTTATTCTGATCAAAATTTTGTTTTATCGTTTTTCGTAATTTGTGTTATATTTACCATTTTTATTTTATATTGTTACAAGACAGATTTGTTATTATTAATAATGTAGGAAAGTTTTTTCTAAACCATAGTCTCCTTTGTTCACAAACTTCAATTTCTAATCATAAATAATTTCATTTCCCACTATGTGAAAAAGCTAATTTTCAATAATTTTTCCTAATTTTCGGTTTCATGTGCATGTAAGTTGTACACGGTATATTGTGATATTACATTATGCGATCTCTAAATATATAAAATAATACATATTTTCATATCATATATTGTGAATAGAATAAAATTATAAGTATAAGTAAAATATATTTTTGAAACGCACTGATAAAAATGTAGTTAATAGTCAATTAGTTCAGGTAAATTTCGGAATCTCACCCGCATATTTTTTTATATGTAATTAAAAATGTGTATATATTTTTGCTAAGCTATTTCAAGGCTCCTTATTTAACTGATTGAGGAAAACTCTTTTCAAATGCTTGTGTACTTACCTCAGAACCGTTTCAAAAGTTTTTTTTTTTTTAAAAAATCTGTTAAACAACGACCCTTATTTACATTATAACTTGAAATAAGAAAATATAAGTTTAATGCACAATTCATTTTGATCTCATTCCGTTGATTTAAAATACTAACAAAAATTGTGAATTAAATTTATGCGAAAACCTAAAATAATTCACACTTTTTCAATCAACGAGATAAAATCATGTGAATTGAAATTTTTGATATATATTTGTATATTTTTTAATATATACAAGTATATATTAATTTAAACTAAATTATATGAAACTATGCAACTCAAGATTTTTTACGAGTATAATCTAGTCCATATCATAATAAATCAAATATTTTTATGATAAATTTTATATATAAATTCTATATGTCGCCTTTAAAAAGTGCTATTAAAAACATGTAAATGAATTTTCATTCAATATTAAAAAAGATGATAAAGAATGAGAATTGAAATAAATATATTATGATGTTAATAAAATGTTTATGTGAAAATCAAATGTTTTATTTTCCACTTTATATTTATTGAACTAAAATTTAAATTTTTTTATAATAGACCAGTGCCCCGGTTTGAAAATCTAAAATGCCCAACATCTATAAATTATAATAAAAAAATTCAGCATTAATTTTTAAAAAATATATAATCAGTACTTCAAATAATACAAATATAATATAGTGTTGTTTAACAAAAAAAATTAACTTTAGTTAATTAGATAAAGCATTTTACATATTTGATAATAATATTTTTTATAAAATATTAGTTTAAAACGAAATCGATTTATCAATTTTTATTAAAATTAAAATAACTATCATTATAATTACAATTGACGAGTATTTGATTCAAACTAAATTTTGTTTCTTTAGACGCATTTTGAGCGCACAATAGAAAGTTAAACAATATATTTTTAAAATAATCGCAAAAATATGAAATATGATAAATACAATGAGGTGCTAAATTGCTATTTTTCTCGATACAATTAATACAGTTCGATTCCTTTAAAACTCGCTTTAACAGAAGATGTATATTTTCAGTTTGGAGAAAATGAAGTTATATCATGACTTGTTGATTTCCCCTTGTTATAGTAACCTTCCAAAAATCGAAAATATTTTTTTTTGTATATTTTTAAGTTTCAGAGGTTTCTAAACATTTTGGAATATATTAGAAAAAATTGATGTGCGTGTATGTATGCGTGGATACAATTGCTCGTGCAGGTTTTCGGGAGCACGGATCAAACAATTAGAATGATTCAAACAAAAAAATTTTGATTCTTATTGATTGGGAGACGTGCTGAGACGGCTTTGGCAAAGACAAGTCCAGCCGTTTCAGAGATACGACTAATGTATTTAAAATTTCTCGAATATTTCATTACGGTACGGTAAGTTCCTGCAATTTGCATTTGGCATTAAGGCACGATGCCATGTACCACTTGTTTTATAATATGACTTGTTAATTATCTGATGCGATTTTATTTATTTTTCGTGTTTTTATTACAATTGAGTTACAAAAGAACCACCTGTCATTTATTTCCACAGGTGTTATTGAATTGTTACCGTTATATTTTCATTATTTTAGTTATTCATATATGATTATTCGTGTTCGTATTCGTTTGCGCCGGGTACGCGTGCCCTTTGACCGCGGCGGCACCTACAAACGCAAGCTGCACGTGCATTCCATATTCCTGGTATCAATTGTTCTAACAGAAAATAATGCGGTGATCAGATTTCGTTACAAAATATCCACTCTGTGTGACCATATGGCTTGCTCACCGAACCTTGACGTATATCGTAGAATTTATTTTCTGAACTGATCAACACCTTTTTAGAACAAATATTATGAATATTCTATTCAAGTATAATCGACAAGTTATAATTTCTTGTAGATTGTAGTCGCTAACATATCTAAGAGATGATTTTTAACTCTTATTTATGGATCCGAGCGTATAAAAAATAGGAGTATGTCGTCTAAACTGACTGAGCTACCGATACATATTGATATGGAACATATAGCATTTAATTAATTTTTATATTTAAACCACTTTTCATAGACCTATAATATTTTAACATTCTCGGTTTGACCATAAAATCTATTACCAGCGACGGGACTTGTTTCAGAGGTCCCGGGTTCGATACCCACTTCGAGCAGTCTGTTGTCAGAGGCAGCGGTGACAACGATTTTCACTTGGAAATATAGATAGCAATATGTTTCCAAGTGAAAATAGCCCTTGCCCGGCATTGCTGCACCAATAAAAAGTCAGCCCTATTAGATTAATTCTAATAACAAAAATCATCAAATATGGATGGATTAACCATTGGGTTACCATCTAAAAAATATGAAGTAAGGAGAAGTTTTAGCCCAACAGCTCATAGGACGTAAGATTCTGATTGCTGTTAAAAAATATAAAAAAAAATCTATCACCATGCAAAGTTTCATCACAATCTTAGAAGAGAATTCCCCAGGTTCTTCTCGAATGATAAGACATAACAGATTTCTGTGACCTGAAATCGATATGTATTATTTCTAGAGGAAAAACCTTCGGGTCCCATTCGAATTCTTTGCTAATAAATTTCGAATTTATAATTTCTCTAAAATTTAGGAAGCTCTATATTAGCTGTTGCAAATTGCTCATATTTTATACTATAAATATATTGAACTCTCTGACAAATTTCAGCAATTAATGTTGTTTTTGATTGGAATCATTGAATTATCTACAGTAATATTTGAAATACAAGTATTTATTATTAATTTGGTATTCGTAATTTCTACAGATTTATTTATTCACGATAGCGTTTTTACTTTTGGGTTTCATTCAGTTTAAACAGCGTACCATGTACCCTACGATTTTATACGGTTGGCGCCCTCAGGGCTACTTAAACTATTGTACAACTAGTCATCCCAAAATCAAATAGAACACTAAATCAACATCGGATTTTCTGTTTATAATGCACTACCAATAAATGCAAATTACACGCCTGACATCCAGCATGTTATACACAAATTAGTCAATGATAAATATCAAATCAGAGCGATGAATAAAAAATGTTATATTTTCAATATTTGTTATAATTATGTTATTACACATATTACTTGCTGTATAAAAATAAATATTAAATTTATAAATGTATTATTTATATAATTGCTTACAATTGGATAAGTTCTTGATCTTTATGTCGAGATCCAATATAAACAAGATTATCTAAATTTAATTAGTAGATGCAAAATTTCTAATCATATTTCTCTAGCAATATGAATATAGTAATATGAGTTCTTCTAAAAAAGCGATACATCAAATGAATGGCAAAGATTTATAAATTAATCTTCAATGTTTCCAAACGTTTATCTACATTATTAATATCTACAGCTGTAGACATGATGTCTTACATTAACTAGTTGGTATTGGTATTTAGCCTTGGGGCAAGTTACATGAACTACCCGATATGTGTAAATAATCGACTTAATCAATAATAAACGAATTAATTTATGAGTGATTAAAAGTATTCCGAGAGGATTTATTACACATAATTGAAAACTAATGAACACGTTAACTCGGAGTATTTTCTAAATAAAAAAGCAAATTTTCACAAATCAATAATTTTTATAATTGAACCAGTTTTCGTAGGACGTTAATGGTTTAGTATGCTTATTAAGACCAAGTAATCTATCGTTATACCAAGTAAATCATCTAATTTTAATTTTAACAAACGTCAACAAAACTACTCATTTTCTCAAACTTTGATGAATTTTTAAAATTAAACTACTTGTCGTAAGGCCGTAATATTCAGTAGGTTCTATAAGACTATGATATACATCGCCAAAGAAAGTTTCATAAAAATCGGCTTAATTTTTTTTTTCAACTGTTAATTGCAAGAAAACGGCTCGGTAGATTTTCACCTAAAACTAATCAGTATTATTCCCAACTGATATCTTTCAGCAGATCATAGTGCTCATTAAGATACATCGAATGGCTTTTAAATTTCTGAAATCGGTTCAGACGTTTTTGAGCAAACGTCGATGAAAGGTCTAATTTTGAAAAAAAAAACCAAAAAAAAACAAATTTAGTCTCATTCAATTCAGAATGGCTTGAAACGTCGAGAAAACATAAAATTAGCTAATCGGATTGTTTGATGAAAACATAAACATCTTCTTCGGGAAGCACAAAAGTGTGTTCAAAGCACATAAATTAGCACTATCGTTTAACACTGATTTGTCATTAACAAAGAGATTTTTTTTACCTAGAATATTAAAATACAGAAAAATTGAGTAACAAAGGTGCAAGAACAACCTGTAATTACGAATGGCTCCGAGGATCAAAAAATGCATAAATGGTAGTGCTAACTTATGTGCCTTGTACATATTTATTGATGTGTCTAATATTGATGTATCAATATAAACTATGTCTAATATAAGCTGATGGACAAAAATGTTAAGCCGAATGATTTAAAATATTAAAGTTTATCTA